TGTTTTCAGCCCCCCAAGTGCTGGGATTACAGGCACGTGCCACCACACCCAGTCTCATTGGCCATCTCAGCGTGCCCCAGAGGTGGGGCTGGCAAGGCACGTCGGGGCTCAAACTCTGGTCCCTGAGCCTGCCTAAGCAGGTGCTTTAGTCTGCTGAGCTATCTGGCTGGCCCTATGAATTTTCTTTAGTAAGAAAAGTAACCAACCAAGTGTTAACCAAAACATGTGCTGTTTCCCGAACATAGCAGCGCTTCACTCAGGCTGCTTGCTGGTTCCCTGAAGAGCTTGGTGGCCACTCTGGGTCGACTCCCAGACATGCAATGCTGCTAACCAGAGAAGAATCTGGAACCTCCCTTGGAGGAGGGGCCCCAAAGGCTCACCTGCTACATTGTAATCGATCCTCCACATGCTCTGTGACACTGGTCTGTCTGGACATGGGATGATGAAGGAGACCACAAACACCACCAAAAGGCAGATAAACAATGAAAGAAAAAATGCTACTGTTCGGCATCGGGAGAGCCGCGATTGTGTAGGTGCACTTTTTAAGTTATCTTCATTTTTCAACCTATTTCCAAGATTTTCCTGTGATATTTTGTCTTCCTTCTTCAAGGGGTGGATTTCAGCTTCTAAATCCTTGTTGTCTGTCATCCTGTGCACATCCCAAAGTTTAACTCCTAGTGACTGTTCAGATAAAACAAAAGATAGTTAAGGTTAAGGATGGTAGCCAGGCATGGTGGCACACACCTGGAATCCCAGCACTTGGGAGGCTGAGGCAAAACCAGCATGGCATACAAAGTAAGTAAGCTCAAGGTCAGCCTGAAATGCATAGAGAGACTGTCTCAAAAACATAGGAAAAAAAAAAAGAAAAAAGAAAGAAAAAAGAGGGCCAGGGAGATGGCTCAGTAGGATAAGCGTTCAGCTGGCAAGCGCAAGGATCTGAGTTCAAAGAGAGCCAGCCAAATAGCTCAGTAGATTAAAGTGCCTGCAAGCAGGCGCAGGGGCTGGGGGCTCGATTCCACCCCACTTGCAGTACTGTCCCTCCCCCCCGGGGAGCGATGAGATGGCAACTGAGACTGGGCATGGTGGTGCGTGCCTATAATCCCAGCTCTTGGGAGGCTGTAAACAGGCGAGTCCGATCTAGTAGTGAGATCCTGAATACCCTGTAGACCCCTCCCTAAAATACAAACAAAAAAAGAGAAAGCTTGGTAGTCCCATAGCAAAAAGCTGTGTGTATATGTGTTGGGGTGGGGGGTAGGGGCTTCTCTTTCAGATTCTTATAGGAGCCTGGTTGCAGCTGTCACTGCCAGCCATCAGCCAAAGCAATAAAAGCAATGTAAGTGTTCTGAGTGTTAAGTCTACAGAATCTACTTAAGAAAGTATGTCTCATAGAAAGCGGCACAAGTTGCACAGGAAAGATACGCAGGTTCACTAGGGCCTGCTATGGTTGTAGCCGATCCTAATACAGACCACACATTAAACATTAACCAAGCCTCACCTGCCCGATCGGTCTCTCAGACCCAAAAGGACCCAGGTGAGAATTTAGACTCCCTGGAATGCTAGTCTCCGAGCATATTTTTTAAAGACAAGTCTCACTATGTAATCCAGGCTGGTCTCAAACTAGTTCTGTAGCCCAGGCCAGCTTTAACTCTCAATCCCCTTGCCTTAGCCTCCTGAATGTTAGGATTATAGTCATGGACCACCATGGTTGACTTAAAGAATCCTCTCATGCCTCACTCCCCAACAACAGGAGACTAAACCTAGGGTGCTTATACTAAGCTACATCTCCAGGCCTTCTTCATTTTGAGGCAAGGCCTTGCTAAATCACTAAATTGCTCAGGAAGATTGCTTGCTTGCAATCTTCTTATCTAAGCCTCTCAGGGTACTGTGATCACAGGCCTGTACCACCATGCCTGGTTTCAAAGAATTTTCTTCTTCTCCTTCTCCTCTTTTTTTTCTTTCTTTCTTTTTTTTTTTTTTTTTGAGATGAGTCTTGTTCCTTAAATTAGGCTGAACCCAATATTTAGCCCTTGAACTCTCAGCATCCTCCTTGCCTCAGCCCCCTCAATGCTGGGATTTATAGGTGTCTGCTATCATGCCTGGCTTCAAAGAACTTTAAAATAGGCTCTGGAGCCACAGTCTTGCCCCTAGAGTGACCTAGGACAGTGATTCAATTTTAACGTGTGTTTCTTATCTGTACAACGAATGCCATATCCACTCAGGAGATTATTTTAGGGGTTAAACTGTGCACACAAAGAACTTATGACAGGAGCTGGCACACAGTATACACTGCAACAATAGCTCATTATAACTAAGATAAAGAATGTTAAGGCGGAAGTCATGTGCAGGACAGTGGGTAGCCATGTGGAACGCACACAGGTGTGTGACAACTCAGCCCTTCTGTGGAAGGATAGCATGTTCTCTCCTTGCCAAGCCCCTCTGCCATTGGATCATGGGTGGAAGTGGTGGGAAACCTGCAGCAGCCAGCTCAAAAACCAAAATGGAGGCTAGAAAAAGCCACAGAAACAGCAGGGCTCCCTGACATCTGCAAAGCACTTCAATCCTGAGTCGTTTCTGCTGTTGTTAGGTGAGACAGAAACAGACTTCTGTCTTGCCTAAGACATTATTATTTTGGTCCTTTTAAACTGCCAGGGCCAGGGAGTTAGCTCAGTAAATTAAGTACTTCCCTGGAAAGCACAAGGTCTCAAGTTCAATCCCTGGCACCATCAAACAAACAAACAAACAAACAAACAAACCTAACTGCCAAATAGCTGTCCTAACACAAATTACATGGAGGGGACAGCAGGGATCATGTGGATTCAAGTCCGTTATAACCTTTATTTACTCAAAAAGGAAGTCAGCAGCCCCTGACTCAAGGGCAGAAGAGGATAAGGCAGAAGGCAGACAGAGCGGCCATCAGAGGACATGGCTGCTCTACACCAGCTCCCTGTAGGCATGATCAGGAAGATGGTACTAGACAAGACTGTTGTTTGTTTGTTGTTTTTTGGGTTTTTTTGAGTTGCCGGCCCAGCCTACCTGGGGGCAGGGCCGGCGCGGCACATGTTGCTATGGATTGAACTGCGTCCCTGCACTTTGCCTAAGCTTGCCTGAGCAGGGGCTTCGGACCACTGAGGTATCTCACTGCCCCCCCTCCCCCTTTTGAGATTGGGTTTCACTATGCAGTTTAGGCTGGCTGTGAGCTCACCATGTAACCCGGTCTGGCCTCAAACTCAGTCATCCTCATGCTTCAGTCTCCCAAGTGCTGGGTTTGTATCATAGCCAGAAGTTTTTTGTTTCAAAAATTTCACTTTTAAACTGTAACTGTTGGGCTGGTGAGATGGCTCAGTGGTCTAAAGCACCTACTTAGAACAAGCTAAGCTAAGCAAAGCACAGGGACCGCTGTTCAATCCCCCAGCACCACATGCCAGCCAGCCCTGCCCCCTGGTGGGCTGAGCTGGCCACACACACAAAATAAATAAATAAATAAATAAATAAATAAATAAATAAATAATAAAAACTGTGACTGTTTTTCTTTAATTAATAAAATAATTCATTCATTAAAAAAAAAATCTGTGAAGGGGCCAGTGAGATGCTTAGTGGAATAAATGCTTCCCTGGCAAGCACAAGAGCCTGAGTTCAATCCCCAGTTCTGCAAAAAACAAAACAAAACAAACAAACAAACAAAAAATACCTATGTACATATTCATTAGCATGGCTGTAATTTAAAAAATAAAAATGATGTTGGGTATAGTGGTATACATCTGTAATCCCAGCACTCAAAGGGCTGAGGCAGAAGAATTTCTAGTTGAAAACTAGCCTGGAAGCCAGGCATAGTGGCGCATGCCTGTAATCCCACCTCTTGGAAGCTGAAGCAGGAGGATCCTTGCAAGCTTAAGACCAACCTGGGCTACAAAGTGAGCTCAAGGCTAGCCTCAGCTGCACAGCAAAGCCCTGTCTCAAAAAGAACAAAACAAAATAAAAGCAAAAACAAAGACTAGCCTTGGTGGCTTACTGAGACCTCCTAGTCTGATAGATAGATAAGATAGAGCTGGGGATGTAATTTAGTGTTGCCTGGGTCCAACGCCTAGTAGTAAAGGAAAAAAATAAGAGAAATGAAGTTTTTTTAAAAATTTATTTATTTTATTTGTGTGTGTGTGTGTGTGTGTGTGTGTGTGGCCAGCTCAGCCCGCCTGGGGGTGGAGCTGGCTGGCATGTGGTGCTGGAGGATTGAACGGCAGTCCATGTGCTTTGCTAAGCTTGTTCTAAGTAGGTGCTTTAGACCACTGAGCTATCTTACCAGCCCCCAAGAAATGAAGTTCTGACACACATAGTGAACTCTGAAAACATCACACTGGATGAAATAATCCAGACAAAAATATTACTACTGTCATGATTTCATTTCATTTATACGAAATATATAGTACAGGCAGATCAGTAGGGGCACAAAGTAGGTTAGTGATTGTCAGAAGCTAGGAGATAGGGGAGCCACTAATAGATGTGGAGTTTCCTTTTGTAATGATGAAAACGTGCTGGTTGCAAATTATTGTGAATGTACCAAATGTCACTAATGGAAAATTTTATGATATGTATATTTTAACCACAACTGAAAGAGCAGTTCCCCTTAGTGCTGAGGCATAAGTTTTAACATTGTGGAGGTCAGAAAAGGTATGCCTATCAAAGTAATGAGTTGGACACAAGGAAAATCAAACAGTGAGTCATACCCAAGAACCTTACTAAGCCCAAACATAGAATGGGGGTGGCAAGGTATGACCAGGGATGCCTGGAAAAGGTAACTGGGGTAAAAGCCAACAACAGGGCCTGTAGTGGGCCAACAGCAGTGGGGTGCTGTGCCAATGCTTGGAACAGCAGAGCTGTTCACTCAGCAAATGCAGCCACCATATTCCTGAGGAAGAGATGTTTAAAGAATAATTTCTTTTGCTGAAAGAAAACTAAATGAGAAGCCAAATACTAAAACTCTAGATATCTATCTTTAACGTGATACTGCCCACTTGTGACCCCAGCACCCTGGGAAGCTGAGTTACTGGAGGATGACAATTTAGGCCCAACTAGGCAACTTAGCAACTTAAGAGATTCTGTCTCAAAATACAAAATATACCAGAGGTAGTAGTGCACACTGGTAATTCCAGTATCTAGGGGCCTGAGGCAGATGGATTGCTGCAAGTTGGAGGCCAGCTTGGGCTATAGAGAGAACCCGTTCTAAAATTAAATTTGTAATTTTTATTTATTATTTAATGTATTTAGGCCAGGGAGATGGTTCAG